ATGGAGCCACATCAACAAAAAAGTACGAAAATTTATGGGAGTATACGAGGAATGCTCCCGGTCCCGGAGGAGCGGCATGAACGACGCCGATGTTCTCCGGCTTGCCACGACCCGGTATCAAGACGACGGGAACCAAGGCAAGGTGCCCATCGATCTTTGGGGGATTTTGAGTCGTTCCCCGAAGTGGCAACAACTCAACAATCCCGACGGCGTATCATTCCGGAAAAGATCCACCGTCGACGCCGAGGTTGAGGTCGATGAGACCATCGGTTCTACCGATCAAATCCCTTCCTTCAACGTTGCGGCTTCCGATGACGAGGACCCCATTCCACGGCCGATCGGAAGAAAGAAGGCAAAATCCATTGCCTCTGGTTCGGGAGGGTCCGCCTCTATTTCCGCTTCTTCCCGCGACGAAATCGGCCGGGCAATGGTTGAACAACTTCGGGCGTTCAATCTCCAAGAACAAGAGAGGTTGAAGCTTAAAGAGAAGGAGTTGAAGCTAAAGGAGCAGGAGGCCGAGATGAAAGTCATGCAAACCGACCCCGGGACGTTGTCGGAGTTTGGACGAATTATCTACGAGCAAAGAATGAGAGAGATCAAGGAGAAAATATAATTTACCTTAGTTTTTTTTATTAATGTATCTTTTTTTAAATTATTGTCGCTTTTTTTATTTAATTAATGTGTTTTTTTATTATTCGTGTTTCAATTTAATTAGATAATAAATTAATTACATTTTATTAATTTAATTTTAGAAGATGTATATTTAAAAATGTAAAAAATGAAGGTTTGAAGCCCCAGTTTGAAGCCCCGGGGCTTCAAACTCATTTCCAGTGAATTTTGAGTGTAAGTTAAAGCTGACGTGGCAGAGAGAGAAAGTTTGAAGCCCGGGGGCTTCAAACGTATTACCAGTGCTCTAAGAGAAGTAAGGGCAGTTCCCATTGCATTAAATAAAGGTATTAAAGGCAGAAGGTTTGTTAACACAGCAAAGTACATGTTTATATATATATATATATATATATATATATATATATATATATATATATATATATATATATAGCTTAGTGTGGCATTATATTATTGGACAGTATTAACATATTAACACCCCTACCAAAGTGGGGGTGAGCCATTTATGGATGAAAACAGCAAGACGCCATGGTTTTAAGCAGTGCCCATCTTGTCCCTTCGCACTTGGGCAAACTCAAAGACCTTATGGGGATTTGGGAGAGACTTGGAGACACTCTCCCTCTCCATGCACCTCTTAGCCCAGGCAATCAGCTTGGGGCACTCTGCCTCTATGCTGAACTTACCAAAGGTCTCAAAGACATGGAACCAGCTGTAGAATCCTATGAGAGAAACATCAACAAACCCAAACCTGTCTCCCCCAAAGTATGGCTTCTCTCCCAGTTCTCCTTCCAGCACCTTCAGGTGTCCTATGAACTCATTGTTGGCCGCCTCCTGTTCTTCCTCTCCCTTAGCAGTCCATGTTTTCTTGCTAGAATCATAAACCTGCAATCATAACACAACACCTGAAATTACATTACTTGGATACGATTTAGGGCAATTTTTTCGCAGGGATTTGCCACTCAGACAATTCGTCGAACACTTGGTGGGCATACCTTCTGGTCAATGTAGTTGGCCCAGAATCTAGCCTGGGATTTCTCGTAGGGATCAGAGGGGAGCAGCGGGGACTTGCCCTTCCAAACCTCATCAATATACTCCACTATGATCGTAGATTCACAGACGGGCTTGCCGTTGTGGATGAGAACCGGGATCTTCTTGTGGACCGGGTTCATCTCGAGAAGCAGCTCGCTCTTGTTGGTGTGTAGATCTGCTTCTTCAATGTACAGGTGCTTGATCTCCTTCTCAGCCAGAGCGATTCTTGCCCTCATCCCATACCTGCTTGCCCAGAAATCCAACAACATCACCTCAGAGTGTTCAGCCATTCTTTCACCCCCAAGAAGAAGAGAAACGGTAAATGGCCCGAAAGAAAAGAGGAAGAATGCTCCCAGAAAGCAGAGGTACAGCTGATCGGAGATGGTGGCGGGTTTTTAAATAGCAGAACGGAGATGGTGGAGGTAGGGGAAACTGCGTTTGAATTTTGATTCCAATTTGAACCGCTGTTTTCACGATGGCCGAATCCTTCTAGATGAACAATTGTTTAATTTGCTTCTTCTTCTTTCGAAAACATTTTTTTAAATAAAGAGTATTAATTTTATTTAATTACTTATCAAGTTTGTACTACTCCCTCCGTCCCAGAGTATTTGTTCACTTTTATTTTTATACACCATCCAATACACTTTTTTAATCCATTTTATCTTGTAATTTGTATATTAAAAAATTATAGAAATTATATACTCCGTATTAATAATCTATATGTTGAGACAAATCAAACAAGATCACATATGACTATTTTTAGGCTTACACATTGAGAGAATTTGATGAGTCAAAGTACTTAGATGAACAGTTCCAAAAGTCAAAACTGGACAAATACTCCAGACATGGGGAGTACTTTCTAAACTCACAAAAAAACGCCCCTAGTGTATTTTTTTATTTATAAATACAACATTACGAATAAGAGAAAATAGTTTTTATTTTAGTTACACACTACTACCTCCATTCCACAATAACTGTCTAGCAATGATTATTAGATACATTAGATTTTAGACATAAATATATCTACATTCATTTAAAATATTAAATAAATCTTAATAGACATCTATTGTAGAATGAAAGAAGTAATAAGCTACTAGTTGTATTCAGAGCACTGGGTATACCCATAACGCCACCTGGCGTTAGGGTTGTTTTCACGCCCCGTAGGCGTTAAACACCGCCCTCGGCGGCGTTACCCGAGCGTGATCCGGCGTGCGTCAAAGGAATGACGCTGCGTCATTCCTCTCCCCCCCCCCCCTTAACGGCTATAATAGCCGTTGCACCCTCCAAATTCAAAAAAAAAATTCTTATAAATTCAAACCACCCTCCCAATATCTCACACCTTCTCCATCTTCAATTTCTTCTTCTTCCCAATTTTTAAATTTCGAAATCACCCCCTCTCTTTTCAACATGAATCCTTTCGGCTCCGACTTCTTTCCCGACAATCTCGCGCCAAGCGACGCCGCGATGTGGTATTACCAAGAGTTGGGCGATCGACCGCCGATGTACGAGACGCAACAATCGGAGTACGTCGACCGAGATTCGGTTCCGGAGACTCAACCGGAACCGTCCGGGTCGAAAAAAAGTACACGCCGGAAAAGCCACAGAGCCAAAAGCACGTTGACCGAGGCGGCACGGTCAATCCAAAAGTGGACGCCGGAGGAGGAGTGCATATTGGCGTCGGCTTGGGTTGACGTCTCAGAGCATCCTATCATTGGTAAAAAATTTAATTTTTCTAATATATTTATGTTTTTATTTATATATATATTATTTTTAATGGTGTCTAAAAAAAATTGTGTAATACATTTTTAAAGGTTTGGAACAAACGAAAGATGCGATGTGGGATCGTATCGAGAAGAAGTTCTTCACGGCGATGAATAAGGAGGGCTCCTACCGAACCCGGGACCAACTCACTTCCAAATGGAGCCACATCAACAACAAAGTCTGAAAGTTTATCGGAGTTTACGAGGAATGCTCCCGGTCCCGGGGGAGCGGGACGAACGACGCCGATGTTCTCCGGCTTGCCATGACCCGGTATCAAGACGACGGGCACCAAGGCAAGGTGCTCATCGATCTTTGGAGGATTTTGAGTCGTTCCCCGAAGTGGCAACAACTCAACAATCCCGACGGCGGATCGTTCCGGAAAAGATCCACCGTCGACGCCGAAGTTGAGGTCGACGAGACTATCGGTTCTACCGATCAAATCCCTCCCTTCAACATTGCGGATTCTGAAGATGAGGACCTCATTCCACGTCCGATCGGAAGAAAGAAGGCAAAATCCATTGCCTCTGGTTCGGGAGGGTCCGCCTCTGTTTCCGCTTCTTCCTGCGACGAAATTGGCCGAGAAATGGTTGAACAATTTCGGGCGTTCAATCTCCGAGAACAAGAGAGGTTGAAGCTAAAGGAGAAGGAGTTGAAGCTAAAGGAGCAGGAGGCCGAGATGAAAGTCATGCAAACCGACCCCGGGACATTGTCGGAGATTGGACTAATGATCTACAAGCAAAGAATAAGAGAGATCAAGGAGAAATATAATTTACCTTAGTTTTTTTTATTAATGTATCTTTTTTTAAATTATTGTCGCTTTTTTTTTAATTAATATATATTTTTATTATTCGTGTTTCAATTTAATTAACTAATAAATTTATTACATTTTATTAATTTAATTTTAGAAGATGTATATTTAAAAATGTAAAAAATGAAGGTTTAAAGCCCCTGTTTGAAGCCTGAGGCTTCAAACCCATTTCTAGTGAATTTTAGATGTAAGTTAAGGTGGCAGAGAGAATATTTAAAGCCCGGTAACGTATTTCCCGTGCTCTCATATCGTGGCGTTAAGATACTCCGTATGAACGAAGGGAGGGCAACTAAACACAATTTTATTTCAACAACATTTGTTTATCCAACCCAAGCAGTAGATCAGACACATTCAAAGTGTCTTTGCTACAGAAAGGACAACATATACATGAACAAGTAAACAGCCACCACATAAAAAACCAACAACATCAAAACCAAACACATCATCAAGATCATGCTCTACTTTATTGAGGAAATGGAACAGCAGTAGAAGTTGATGAGTACTACTGTAATGCTTAAGCAGAGGCAAACTTCTCCTTCAACATCTGGGCAAACTCAAGAACCTTGTGAGGATGAGGGACAGACTTGGAGACACTCTCCCTCTCCATGCACCTCTTGGCCCAAGAAACCAGCTTGGGGCACTCTGCCTCTATGCTGAACTTACCAAAGGTCTCAAAGACATGGAACCAGCTGTAGAATCCTATGAGAGAAACATCAACAAACCCAAACCTGTCTCCCCCAAAGTATGGCTTCTCTCCCAGTTCTCCTTCCAGCACCTTCAGGTGCCCGATGAACTCCTTGTTGGCCGCCTCCTGTTCCTCTTCTCCCTTTGCAGTCCATGTCTTCCTGCTAGACTCATAAATCTGCAACAATCATACCACAACACGAAATTAAATAGTATAATACTCATCGGACACAATTTAAGGAATTAAGGAAAGATTTTTTCACAGAGACATTTCGTCGAGCACTTGGAGGGCATACCTTCTTGTCAATGAAATCAGCCCAGAATCTAGCCTGGGATTTCTCGTAGGGATCAGAGGGGAGCAGCTGGGACTTGCCCTTCCAAACCTCGTCAATATACTCCACTATGATCGTTGATTCGCAGACGGGCTTGCCGTTGTGGACGAGAACCGGGATCTTCTTGTGAACCGGGTTCATCTTGAGAAGCAGATCGCTCTTGTTCCGGAGGTCCTCGTCCCTGTACTCGTGCTTGATCTCCTTCTCCGCCAGGGCGATTCTGACCCTCATCCCGAACATGCTTGGCCAGAAATCCAACAGTATCACTTCATCCTGAGCCATGACGAGAAAGAAGAAGAAGAACTCTGCTTGAGGAAGAAGAAGAAAATGAAGAGAATGGTGGCCACAGAAGATAGGGGTATGAGACGGAGGCATTAAATAGACAGGGAGGGAGGATAAGTAGGGGCAAATGTGGGAAACCACTGGGGCCTACCAAAATCGGACGGTTGTCTATTCTCGCGAAGGATCTAGCGACTAGTGTAGAGCAATTTAAATTTGAAAAATGCTAAGGGTACGCTAAAGGTGTACTCCATTTGTCCCAATCCCCTCCATTACTATAAAAATGGGCAAGAAACTAAAACAAAATTAAATAAATAAAAATGGAGTTAAAATAAGTGGTAGAGAAAGGGATGTGGGACAAATGGGGTACACCTTTATTTGGTGTACCCCTAGCATGGCTCTTTAAATTTTTAAACAAAAAAGGATTGAACATTTATTAAAGAAATTAATACTCCCTCCGTCCCCAATTTGATTACAAATTGCGGGTTACGGAGTAAAATTTCTTACTTTTTGAAATCATTTTATTTACAAATTGGTATATCAATAAGTTATAAAAATTACATATTAAAAAACTACGTCAAAAGTTCTACAAAATAAGAGGTGACAAGAATATTTTATTTTATCAAATACTTGATGAAATCGCGTAAACAAACAAAAGTTATCGAGAGGAGAGAGAAAAAAAAAATTGTAATCAAATTGGGGACGGAAAAAAAAGATCCCAATATCCTACCTTAGATATTGACTTGTGTATGCCCACTAGTAGAAATTGAAAATTGAAAATTTGTTCTGATATCATGAATTGAAAATAGCGAAATAATTTTTATACACAGTATGTTTTTATGTGTGCCAGTCATAAATAAGAGATTAAATTGTACCACTGGTCCTTTAAAATATTATGTCATGCAAAGTTAGTTTTTTAAGTTTAAGAATCTCACGAATAATCTTTCAAGTCACGTTAGCATTGCTTTTTAAAACAAAAAGAGTATAATTTATAAAAATGATTTATCTTACTTTTAAATAATTCGTTTTCCGAATTAATTTTCGTGGGAATTTTTATTTTGGACATACTACCCACTTATTCTCCCGTCTCGAATTATATTACATTTTTTTTCCTTCTTCTCTCGTTAACTTTTACTCCCTCCGTCCTATATCTTTCTTTCCGTTGCGCAAAACGAAGAAAAATCTCAAGTGTTTTCAATCTATTTTATTTAAATATTGGTATAGAAATAAAAAATAAAACATACATATTTAAAAACTACATCAAAAGTTCAACAAAACAAGCGGTGACAAGAATATTTTATTTTATCATATAGGCTATGAAAAACATAAATAAATATAAATCCCCGTGAAGTTGGAATAGTATCCTGAAAAGAAAGTTTTAGGACGGAGGAAGTATTTATTTGTGTGTGTTCATTGAATATTTGATAAAATAAAATATTCTTGTCACATCTTCTATTGTAAAAATTTTGATGTAGTTTTTTAATATGTAATTTTTATTTATTATTGATATATCAAATTTTAAATAAAATATTTTCAAATGATAAAATATTTTATCTCGTAACTTCTAATTTGTAATCAAATTAAGAGCGTAATGAGTATTAATTTCTTTGCTTATCATTTAGGGAGTAGATCAATACGGAGTATTTTTTTAGGCAAATATTTTAGTGCACCCAAGGTCTATCGTCTATACATGCACATTTGTGTGGATAAACTGATGTGAGTTAGTTCACATTTTTACTATTTTAATAAACATTTTTTTATAACTAAAAAATTAAAAATGAAAATAAATTTTTATGTGAGAAAAGTCTAAAAGATTGAGCAAAGAAGCACTCTCTTGTTTATCATCTCTACTGCGGGACCCGTACTACGTCACTGCTTAGGTAGAATTCAATCTCGAATTCTCAATAGATATTCTTAGAATACGTCAATTTCAACTCAATTATGAATGAAAAACTTTTCAAAGTATTGTGTTCCCTGCCTCCTAAAATGTTTTCCCTGTGTTATTTATTTTGTCAAATTTGTTTTACTTTCTTTGCTCATCTTTTAGTTAATTGATAAATAACATAGACATATTTTTTTGTATTTTTTTAAAATGCATACTTTTTATGTTTTGATTTCACACTTATAATTCAATAAGTTAAATTGAAAATAACTTATTCAATTCTTGTAAACCAAAACCTGAAAAAAGTTTTATGATGGAAGAAGTAAATGATTTAGGGAAAACTCCGTGGATGAAAGTAAAAAATATGAAAATATCAAAATAAAGATCTTAGATTTTTTAATATCAAAATAGGAGTTCACATTATTGTTCTGCCACAATCACCCTACTGTCACACTATAACTGTCATGCTATCATCCCTCGCAAACAACAACGTCGTTGTCTATCACTGATGGTGTACTGATCACATTGTCATATTACATAGCAGTGTAGGAGAAAATATGGAAATTGACCACCTCCATTGTGAATGATATGGTGGTATAGTTATAGTTACATGAGTGGTGGAGATAAACATGATAAGGTGTAAATTGTGGGGGTATTTATGGTAGTGAATGGATTATGGGCATGTCATCATGGTAAGTATTAATTCTGAAAATAGTTACGGTAACTGAGTTGATAATGGTAAGTGATCAAAAAGTAAATAATTATGGATTAACATTAATTGGGAAATTCAGATGGAGTATCCATACAAGATAATATTTCCCATCAACACTATCATCAATTTTTTATCATACGTCCAATGCATACTGATGGGTATATCCCTATACTCGACCCGGACAACCGAAAGGGACAGGTCAAAGTATGACCGGTCACTTTTATCAATCACCAAATGAGGTTAACTCTTCGATTTGGACAGGTCAAAAGTTGACCGGTCACTTCCACTAAAAAAGTGANTCATTTTGCAGGGTTGATTGGATTGAGAATATCCATTTTAGTCTTTGATTGAACAGTGCTTTTTGGTTGTATTAGTAGCAAGTCCATGATTGTACAGTGCTTCCATTATCTACAGTGACCTTCCCACGAGCTTCCTATTTTGTCCATGGATGAACAGGGGAAGGTCACAAATCCTCCTCTATAAATATGATGATATTGGATAGAGGAGGGGATCCATTCTTTCTCTCACTAAAAACTAGTACACTCTTGAGACAGAGTAAGAAATATATTTCGGACTGAGAAGATTTATCCGGTCTAGGCCATACTTTGTGTTCTTGTTGTGTGTTTTATATTACGGGTCAAGTGTCCAGGTCAAACCCGGTCAACCCACCCATCTATATTTACACCATCACATACATACATCATACTGTCATTATACATTTATTTTGATGTTAAAAGACTTAGGATTCATATTTTAGTATTTTTAATATTTTATTACTTTTATCTATCATAATTTCTTAATAATTTACAGGCCAAATATGAAATACCTCATGTGCTTTAATTTGAAATTTTTATAATTTCTAAATGTTGCACACACATCATTCATGCCGAAGGGAATGAAAGTTTTAATAATAAAAAGAACAATGCTATTTCAAATCATTATAAGCACATATACACACTTCTATGGATAAAAAAGCGAATTATAAGTACTACTTCCGTCGCAGAGTATTTGTCCACTTTCATTTTTACACACCATTCAATGCACTTCTTTAATCCATTTTATCTTGTAATTTGTATATTAAAAAATTATAGAAATTATATATTAATAATCTATATGTTAAGACAAATCAAATAAGATCACACATGACTATATTTAGGCTTACACATTGAGAGAATTTGATGAATCAAAGTACTTAGATGAATAATTCCAAAAGTCAAAACTGGACGAATACTCCGGGACGGAGGGAGTAAATTTTAAAAAAAATGAATACATCTTTATTACTACATATTGTTCACTACATATCACACATTGTTAATAGTATTCTAATAAATAATACTTCATACTCCATACCTAGTAGTAATATCAAACATAACACATTTTATATATTGATTGTTTTTTCATTACTCATTATAGTTATTATATAAAACATCTAATATATTACTCCGAAATGCATTACTTTATTTTTAAATTTCTTTTCATTGTTTAGAAGCTTTCGTCGTGCGTACCGGGCCATCCCGAAGCCCGTTGGTATCCATACGGGCCGAGCTTAGGCTTCAATTGTTAGACCCGCTATACGTACCGGGCGAATTTGGCCTAAAAAATTCTTGTAATGTAGTGTCTCGGCCTAATCCGAAACTTGGTCCGACCCGCACTTTGATCAGGTGTATTCCAAAGGTTCATTTCGTCTATTTGACCGTTAAATTAAAAATTCAATTACTTTGAAAAATACTAGATTTTATCTTGATACTCTGTTTATCTGTTATTATTATTTTATTAAATTTTAATAAATTCCCTCCATTTTGTTAGACCCAAGATAAGTGTACGTAAGCTCAACACCTGGATTTAAATAAAAAAAAGTCTTGATTGATCAAATTACAACTTTTAAGTTTTTTTTTGTATCAACACAACTATATTTTTTGGGTGTATCAATACAAGTACACAACTGTTAAAAACCCAGAAAGTGGATTTAAATGCTTAAAACTTGTCTTCAGTCGTTTAAGTTTACTAGTATGGACCATATTTAACTTGTTTGTAACATTTTTAGCAAACTATTGGGACTATAAAGTATATACCAAAATTATGTACCAATATTTTGATGATTCACATTGGCACAAAATATTAGTAAGGTCAAATTTTTGTTTTAATAACATATTATACTTGTGAACCATCATACTGACACAAAATGAAGGTACACACTTGTGATGTACAATTTGAAGTACAAATTTTGAGATAGATGTAGCTTAATTCTTTTTAGAAATATAAAACCAATAATAACAATTTCTGTAAAATCTCACAAAAATACGATCAGATGAGAGTAGTATACGCAAAGCCATCAACTCAGAAGTAAAATTCTGAGTGAAAAAAAGGTGCAAAGCTTCTTCCACCACAAAAAACAGATGGATTTTCCTCCAAATAACCTAATTTTCTGTTCTTTTGTAAATTTACTTTTCCTCCAAATCCATGCCTTCTGATGATGGCCATTAGCTCTTGGGAGATTGGGGATTCTAGTTTTGTTGGTTGAGAAGGAGACAATTTGGGGCAGAAGATCCAAATTCTTAACAAGAACTAAAAGCTAAGGTTAACTGCAATGCAAAGTGTTTCAACTAAAAAATGAAGTTGATTAGTAGTATATATATGCTTGAGAAGAAGAGACCAGCAGATTCCTATAAAACTCAGCAGAGCACATAAAGGAAGTGGTAGAACCAACATTATTTCCATACATTAATCCAACATATAAGCACTAGACACACTCAAGTGTCTTTGCTACGTAGAGGACAACATATAAGTTGTAACAACAACAACAACTAACACATGAAGATGATCAAACTAGGCACCTAACATCCCAACACAGGGGAAGGGGGTGAGCTCATCATTATTCAGGGAAAAGAGGTTGACAAGTAAGTAGTGTTTAAGCAGTGCTCATCTTCTCCTTAAAGATCTTGGCTAACTCAAGGACCTTATGAGGATTTGGGAGAGTCTTGGAAACACTCTCCCTCTCCATGCACCTCTTAGCCCAAGAAATCAGCTTGGGGCACTCTGCTTCAATGCTGAACTTACCAAAGGTCTCATATACATGAAACCAGCTGTAGAATCCAATGAGAGAGACATCAACAAGCCCAAACCTGTCTCCCCCAAAGTACGGCTTATCTCCCAGTTCTCCTTCCAGCACCTTCAGGTGTCCTATGAACTCCTTCTTGCCCGCCTCCAGTTCTTCTTCTCCGTTTGTAGTCCATGTTTTCTTGCTAGACTCATACATCTGGAACAATCATATCGAAATAACGAATTGTATTACATACTCGGATACAATTCAAGGAAAATATATTTTCAGGGGTTTTGCCATTGAGACAAATTGTCGAACACTTGGTGGGCATACCTTCTGGTCAATGTAGTTGGCCCAGAATCTAGCCTGGGATTTCTCGTAAGGATCAGAGGGGAGCAGCTGGGACTTGCCCTTCCAAACCTCATCAATATACTCCACTATGATCGTAGATTCACAGACTGGCTTGCCTTTATGGATGAGAACCGGGATCTTCTTGTGAATCGGGTTCATCTTGAGAAGCAGATCGCTCTTGTTTGGGAGGTCCTGTTCGATGTACTGGTGCTTGATCTCCTTCTCCGCCAGAGCGATTCGGACCCTCATCCCGAACATGCTTGCCGAGAAATCCAACAGTATCACTTCATCCTGAGCCATTTTCTATCCACCCCTCAACAAGAAAAACTCTGCTTTCAAAGAACGAGAAGAGAAGAAGATGAAAGAGAGAGAGGAGAAAGAAAGAGATATGGAGGAGAGAGGTAGGGGGGGAGGCATATGTCCATTTAAGCCTGCGGAGATCGGACGGAGTGGAGAAGGATCTGGCGATTGACATAGACTCTTTCACTCTAATGGCAATGTTTGGCGGAAGGATCTAGCGAAATTAAGGGGTTTTTGGAAAGTGCCCTTTAATAATGAATGGTCACGTGTCCTCCAATTATAAATTGACATCTCGACCTCCATCCATCATAAATCTTTGCAAAAAAAAAAATGATCCCATATCCGAGGGCTTCATCAGAATCGATCGAATGGTCACTTAAAAAAGATAAATTGAACTTTAATCGCAGATTGTGGCAAAAAATGGAGTTATGTTTAGCATAGTTGCCTACTTGCCTTCCAGCGCAGTAGTCAGGATTCGAACTCAAGTCTTACCCCCTTGACACCCTTTGCCTTGCCAAATCTGCAATGCCCACCGGTATCATAAATCTTTGCAATTACTATCCAAATGGTTAAATTTATTTTTAAATTTTACCCCTACAATTAAATAAATTAAATTGAAAATAAAATTGGTCAAATCTTGTAACACTAATGAGAAGATCTTTAGTAGGCTAGGCGGAGGTAGTAGTAATTTTTTGCCATGTTAGCAAGAGTGGTGCTTCCATTTTTATAAAGTCTACCGGCAAAATATGGACTTTTTTATAATTTTTATCGCTCGATTTGGATATCTTTTATTTTTTAAAATAGCCGAATTCATTCATAATATACATATACTAAGATTCATAAAACAAGTGTTGAATTTAAAACCCAAAAAGAATTTTTCAACTAAACAAATAGTCTTAATTATTTGGGAAAAAGACTAAAGTATGAATAAAACATTGAAAATATATACTAAAATGTGAGTTTCATGTTTTTATTATTCATGAAATAAGAGTTAAAATACATTAACAGTGTCAATCATGACGTGTACATTATCAAAAAGTATTGTGAAATGATCATTGCAGTGCCACAATATTACAGAGCAAACTCTTATTTTGGAGATAAAAACATAGGGTCTGTTTGGGAATATTGTTAGCTATTAGTGTTAGCGTTTTGAAAAGGCAATCTACGAACAACGTTTAGCATTTTCAAAGTAATCTGCACCGTTAAAATTTTATCCAAAACACTAACGCTAATCTCTAACGTTATTCCCAAACAGGCACATAGAGATCCTATTTTGACACTTTCTTTATATTTTATTCTTAATTAGGATGATTTCTTTTATTACTTTAGGTTTCAAAAATTAAAATATGACCACTTCTCTTTCACTTCGTATTATTTTTTATCAACTTTTTAAAAAGGTTTATTTTTTATTCAATTACTCCGTATTAAACTATTTATTGATTTTATTTCATTGAATTGTATGCTATTAAATGATAAAAACTCAATATATATGTTTCTATATAATAATTTATTTACCATTACACTTTGACATAAATAAAATGAATTTTTTCCTATTGTAATTTTGCATTATTTCATAATTATTGATGGGTGTAATCCACCCAGGCCATGACCCGAGTCAGGCTCATCCAAAACCACCCAGGAAAAGTTCAAGTACTGTGCAGCAGGGTTGTTTGGATGGATCTATACTTTATTCGGGTGGGTTTCAGTCAAGACCACCCAAGCAAAGTTCAGGTACCATGCAGCAGGTTGTTTGAGTGGATCTGTACCTTACCCAGGTGGGTTTCAACCAAGACCACCCGGGCAAATTCCAGGTACCATGCAACAGGTTGTTTGGGTTGATCTGTACCTTACCTGGGAGGGTTTCAACTAAGACCACTCGGGTGACTATTCAATTCGGCACCCGGTCAACTAGCATGACATTACATGGGGATCCTCGAGTGGTCAGACTTTCCTCCAAGAAACTACCCGGGCAAGTACTGGGTGCATGGCTAGTTTGGGTGTACATGTGTTGGCAAGAATAATCCAAGCATGTTTGGACGGTAGCGACTGAAGATCACGGAGAATATTAGATATTCTCGTCCAAGCACTACGCGCCAAGAGAGGTGCCATTAGCACAAGCCGACAAATGAGTGGGACAAACACTACGTGACAAGAGAGGTCACCTCGCACCGTCCAGGAACGTGGGACGACGTGGTCAGTCTTTGTCTTGTCCCCTAGGCTCTACTATAAATAGACTTGTAACCCTCAATAGAGGGGGATCCGAAACCTTCTGTCTAAAAACTCATGTGTAAAAGCTCCCGTGTACCTTACGATATCCTAATAACAATTAGGCTACAGGTGTTTCCACCTACAGTCGCCCCGGACAACTTTTATTTTCTGTGCCACTTTAATTTCTAAACTCAGCAAACCAACATAGACCCGGTCTAGAGTAGTTTGGCCGTGCGTTAATTTACACCATCAATTATGTTTCTTTGAAATGACATTAACTTGCACATAATTCTATTTTCTTATTTTTAATCAAAATAATAGCTCAATTTATTTATTTTCTATAAAATAATCTATTTACTGTTACGCTTTATAAAATTTTAAATTACACAAAAAAAATGAATACTGTACCTTTCTAATAAGTAACGAGGAATATTTCGGAATGTAGAATGGGCTAGTGAAAAATAATTTATTAAGTTAATAAAGTAATACAGAGTAATTAATCAAAAAAATCAAATCTTTAAAAAAAATTGATAAAATTAAGGGGGGTTGGAGACAAATTTTCTACCGACAAGGAAAATGAAAAAAGTAACCAAATATATACTACTCCCTCCGATGAGGAAAATGAAAAAAGTAACCAAATATATACATATTTTATAAAAAATAAAAATATAATCATTACAGTGAAAGTGACGTACAACTGGTGTCAAGGGAGTAAAATGATGAGTGCAATGAGCACGGTTGAATCACCGCTGGTTTAGAGTGATCGGTATCGGATCTAATGTGACATTGCATGATTTGCAGTATATTTAATCTATGTTTGACTTTGACTTATTAAATTTTACTCATTTTAGTTGCAAATTTATAGAATTCAATTAAGACATTTTTTACTCTAATAATGAAACTGTAGTGAAATTTAGGCTGCGTATTTGATGGATTCTAATCTCAATTTTTAATTTTTGACTTAGTTAGTGAATTTTATATTATTTAATTTAGTCATTTGATTTAGTCTAAATAGATCTGATGTGATTATAATGGATTAAGTTTGATCAAATTCAAATAAAAGTTAAACTTATTACGGAGTACGATATTTTTATTATCTTTTAACATGGATTAAGTTAACTTCTCAATGTGTCCCATATTTGAGAAATTGTTTAAATTTTACGTTTGACTGTGATTATAATGGATTAAGTTTGATCAAATTCATGCTTATTTTATAAATTTCAGTCATTTGTATGATTAAAGATGTGGGCCTATTGTAAAAAAAATATCCACGTGCAAGCACAAAAAAATGTAAGAAAGTAAACATTTTATATGTGGACCTCGGGAACATGTAAACATCACTCTATAAATTTGGATATCTAATACTAGTTTACATACATCTTAAATAAATACCTTTTTTATTATATCGTTGTTGGAAGAAATGAGAATGAAGTTACAAATAACTTGAAGAAGTTAGAAGAAACTGAAAAGAATTGAAAAAATTAAAAGTTAATTTTTCTGACACAAAAAAACATGGCTTAAATAAACCACCCATAATCGTTTGAGAAGGAAAACAAATACCCCCATAATGTACAGCCATTATAGATACCAAAACGGCAAAACTTGGCACTGTTATTATTTTGTGAACAAAACACATCCTTCCAAATGTTTTGCACTAATGAAATGATGCAATACACATTGGAGTTCTTGTTCCTACCTCTCTTCTAATACCTATTGGGTCTATTGGTAGAGTAATTCTGAGCTAATATATAATAGCACACTTATATATAGGAACCTTGTTTTGGGACATATATCCTTTTTTAAGGGTAGGGGAGATATATGTATATAAGGGCAAATTCATCCCCCCAAATATTTATTCCGTCATTGAGTTGTACCTAATAATCCTCCCTTTTGGATGTTTTTGGCTTTCTTCCTCTCTATTAGTTTCTCCTCCTCGTCTTTCAGATGCGATAGAAGAAGAAGAAAACCAAATAAAAAGAATCCACCGGATGTGTTTCCTCCACCCCCGCCCCCTCCCCCGCCTCCACGATGCCATGGTGGAAGGTTGGGCCCGCTGTCATCAAGTCTTGGCGTGGACGGGTTCCTCTTATCTGCGATCCGTTGAATACCCACTTATAAGCGCAAGAATTGCAAATGATGACAGGACACATAAAAAGGTATTGAAGTGATAGTTATAAAAAATGAATATATAAAAAACATAATGACTATAGGTCCTATTCAGTGCAAATTTCACTATATAAAAAACAAATAGTCATATTTGGATAATATTCGGAGTACAACTTTTACATTTTGTATCAATACATACAACAGTTAAAAATCACAAAAGTACATTTAAATGCTTAAAACTTGATTATAGGTTAAGCAATGCAGCATATCTAACTTGGTCATGACAAATTTTTTAAGCAAATTATAGGCAAAATCTATGAAAATACAGTTTCATTTAATGAAATATGGCTCCTTTTCTGGAGAAAACAACCTTTTGAAATAGCACACTTTTTTCATGGATGGAGTATTTTTAATAATGCAAAGATAATAGACGAAGTACCAATTTGAGGCGCAGTATTTGATGTTTTGGGGTTTTCTACACGCGGCAGAGTTTGTGTTGAGCCCTGAAATTGATCCACATGTAAGAATAAATATTTTGATAACCTGATGTTAGCATTTCTTTCGCACATTGGTGCGTGTAACTACAACAATAGACCTATAGTTTCCTGAAATATCAATAATACAATAAGCTACAAAAGACAAGTGTGATGGCATACAATAACTTGAGATAGACTACCACAAAGTCCCGGTGCCCGTTTGGAATGGTTTATAAAAAAAATATTTCAAAAAGTACTTTTCTAAAGCACCCCAAATTGGTGTATTTGTTGCTGAGAGGAATGTTTTTAATCCTATTAAAGCTAAAAATTTAATGATTCCCAATTTTGTAAAATTAATCTTATTATTACGCAGCACTATAAAAGAAACAAAAT